CACCTCAATCAGACCCCTCTCTAACTCTTCATTTTTCAAGAGAAAACAATTTGAGAGATTTCAGCCTCTCCTTGTATGACTTGTGAGAAGAGATTAAATCTCATAGAAAGTGTATCTTCACCATTGTATTAGTCCATCTTCCATGGATAAGAACAATACATTTTATCATTTCCACAATGTTGTTTTTACCCACATTCTAATTGTCTGTGAGCTGTTAGTTTTTAGCTTAGTTTGTTTGACTGTTTAAGAATTCCACACAAACCTAGAAAGCACCACCATCAATTATTGTCCGATTGAATAGTGAGATTTGACCACCATTTTTATACAGCACCCACAACCCCAAAGTAAATAATTGGTTGCGAAACAAGAATCGGCAAGTTCACAGATGGAGCACACTAACCTCTAGAAATATGCTTAGCCCTTTACCTAGTTTTAAAATGAAAAAAAAAAGCTGTTGTGTTATGCACTGTTTCCTTTAGGCATTACTATTAATATGTCCATTACCTATATAAATTCACAAATAGCTATATTATTTGGTCAGTAATTTCATCATCTGTATTATGTAATTAATAAAAATTACAGAAACTTTGCTAATATTTTATTATAGAATAAGTGCTTTCTTACCATAAAATAATATAGTAATATGGGAATATTTAAAGTGACATGTAGAAGTTGGTACATATATATGTTTTTAAAGGAATTTCTTACCTCCACCTTTTGTGTGTGTTGGAACAATATCTCCAGCTTCACTTTCACCAATTTTATTGAAGCTGATCATGTAAACCTCATAATGTGAGCCACAGTTAAGTCCACTGACAGTAAACGTTGTTCTGTTTCCTGGGATGTTCATGTGCAACCAATCTCCATTCTTTTTGTAGTATAATGTATAACCTAAGTGGATAAAGAACAGTGCTTTTCTAAGTTAATATAACATGTACTATCTAACTTACAACTCATGTTTTTTGGCGTAATTGTTTTTATCTGAAGTTAAAACACTAGGTTTGGAGTGCTCTTGCATTATATACTTATAAACGTTTAAAATATGAGCTAACTAAAGTTAGCTGCTATCAATAACATTACAAATTAAGGTTCTCATACAGCCTATGAAAAGTTGTTGAAGTTAATATTATCTTAAACTGACAATGTATTTCCGAAAGATACTACTTCTCACAAAAAGCTTTCCCAACTTATATTGCCCTCTATTGGTGCAAATGTTTGCTCATTAGTAGCCTTGATACTCCCACTTATCTCTGCTTATTAATATGCAAATGATTATGCAGCAACCCTCCACCAATAGAAGTGCAATACTACCCCTATTGTAACTAGTGCCCTCTCTAATCTTGCAGCTTTTAACCACTTCAAGATTGGTTAGATCACATCAAACCACACTAGAAGTGGGGAGGTTGGGTTGGAAATACATTTTCAGTTTATGAAAATATTAACTTCCAATTGAAAAAATGGAGAGCCAGTGAGAAGATGATCTCCCTTGAGGAAACACCTACAGAAAAACCATTAGGTGTGAGAAGGAACTGAAAAAAACACCCATGGGAGACTGCACCACTTCAGAGTCAGGTATACTCTTCACCCATTTGCAATGTGTCACTAAAAGAGCAGAAAAAAAGAATGGACCCAATAAAAATAACAGAAAATATGAGACCTAGGGCATGACAGACTGTAAAGGGGAGTTTGACCTCAACCAACACCTGGCGGCATTTGGAATTGTACATTAGTTCCGTGGTAGGACAAAGGTCCTCTACATTTCACCTCAAGAACAGGTACCAGCAGGGAAGAGGAGCTTCTGTAACAAGAATTAATCTCCACAGTCATACATCTCCAACACAACCAACACCAGATCCAAACTGACATCTGGTGGACAGTAGGAAATTGTATGGCCCAGAAAAGTATACATTCCCAGTCCAAAACTTGGTGCCATTTGAAATTTCTCGTCCAGTCCATGGTAGAGGAGGGTAACCAACCTTACACCTGCAGGAATTCATGTGTCTCATTCAACTACAACCAACACCAGATCCACTGAGAACCAATATCTAGTGAACAGTAGGAAGAAGGATGGTTATATGGGGTGCATCTTCAGTCCAAAACCTAGTAGCATTGGGAATTTATCATCCAGTCCTTGGTAGGAGGATGGTAACCAACCAAACACATGTGAGGTCATATGTAGCTGGTCTGGCTCCAACCATCACCCAATCCCCAGGAAATGACATCCAATGGATGGTAGGAAGGAGGGTGCCTCAGCCAGAGGAGCAAACTGCAATATATGGCAGAGTGCTACATCCAATACCTAGCGGCATCTGGAATTGTACATCAGGTCCATGGTATGAAAAACATCAAGCCATCTACACCAGCAGAATGCCACTGCCCTACTCTCAACTGAGTGGTACTGTATACACTCAGGAGGACAGGCATTCATGGTCAACCATCCCAGCAGCTAGGAACTGGTAAGTGGCAAGGACTCCCATACTCCACTAGAAGAAGGAAAGAAATGGGTGTTAGAGAGTCGGGAGGATCGTAGCACTGGAGACAATGCAATGGGTGACTGCAATACCCTATGTTGAAAAGCAGAGTGATCACATTGACAAAGTGAATCAACCAACATCTGGCAGTGTCTGGAATTGTACATCAGGTCCTAGGTAGGAAGAGCCTCAACATCACAATCATCTAGCATGGTATATGATCACAGGTCTTACAGTGCAGATTTAAGACTAAATATACCTGGTCAGTCAACACTCGCCATGGACCAGGATCCAAATATGTGATAAATGCCCCTGCAAAGAAAAAAATGGAGTATTTACTATCCATAGATAAACAGGTTCAGCACTGATGATGTCTCCCAAGGGAAGATGGAAATGTGCAGCCAGGAACATGATAAGGTGACAGATCTGAGGGAAGAAAAGAAAGGAAAAAAAACACCAGGTGAATTCAATATGCAAGGGTAATGGGAAAAAGTTCACGAGAAAGGTGAGAATTTCACAGAAGAAACAAATGGACTCGAGAACCAAGGAAGGGAGCAGTATGTGTCATATACCATTGGTGAGCCCTGACTGGTCAAAGGAGGTGGACTGGATTGAAATGGTCATAAAGGTGGGAAACGGAGGGAAAAGGGGTTTTAATTAAATAATTAAGTATAATAAAAATTGTTTTGACTTTGTCTTATGCTTCATGTTCAGTCCACATATGTCTTAGTATTGTTACGTCTCCGTTTGTTAATTAACTTTCCGTAACTTCCTTCCGACGAAACTTTAGCGACACAAGTCCTTACTTAATATAACTGGTTTATTCTTTCGGAATACAACTTTACAATACACTTATTTTCAACAGTCGCGCTATAACAAACTATAGTTCATGTCTCATGAGCTCTACTTCAACAATACGTCTCTCTCTGACTGCAGTTCAATTACTCACTACCTACACACACATTATTCCCTGTCACGTTGTCACCCTC